GAGCTCGCGGTTGAGGTCCGGCAGGGAACACTGGGCGTGGATGGTCGCGGTTGAGGTCCGGCGGAGGAGGCGGAGGAGGAGGAGGAGGCGGAGGACGAGGCGGAGGAGGAGGAGATGGGGCTGACGTAAAACCTAACAACCCTCACCTGACAGGTGGGGAACTAAGGGCAAGGCGGCATGGGCACCTTCCACGAGTTCTTGAAGCTGTGCTGGCGCACAAACCTTCACGCATTCGATGCGCATCTGCCTAAGTGGTGTCGGGCAAAAAGCAATTCCAGCCCTATGCCTCAGACCCATGACTCAGCACAAAAACCCACCAGCCTTGGGCTGTGACAATGTGACCTGATGCCTTTGCAATCTCAGTGGCCACAAATTCCTTTCCTGTTCCGCCAAGCTTCGAAGCGCGCAGAAGCTCCTCCGCAGCAGCGCGCTCCTGCATACTGTCTGATTCATCTTTGTGCAAAATGCACAGTTACCGCAGCTGCCACAATATCCACCAATCGAAGTTCAGGCTCTGTGGATGCCCTTTGAGTTCCTGCATGTCCCTGCCCCTTCTGCAGCTGACCGTGAACAAGTGAAATCCTGACCATACCATACCATACCTCATGTGGCGACCCTTTTCCGCGAGTGCTGTTTTTTTAGTCGCGTGCCTATGACGGGAAGATCTCCGGCAATAGCAGCGCAAGCACTGAGAAACAAGACATTCAGAAGGGTCTGTGTGCGTGTGTCTGCACATAGGTGTGTTGCGTGGGAATTGCTAGCCCTATGCCGAAGTTGATGTGCTATTATCTGTCCACTTCAGCATCGAAGTGAAGTTCAGGAAGGTTGCCCCGATCACGCGTTCTCGATACTCAGCTCCACAATGCGGTTGGCTACCTCCTTCATGGTGGGGTAATCAAACATCAAGGAGGACGGCAGCCTTAGGTTGACCCAGGCATCATCAGCAGCATTGCAAAAGTCAGGACTACTAAGCTTAAACCCATCAGCCAGTTGCACGTCTAAATCCCCCAATAATCACTCTGCCAAGCCACTTTACACCCAGCTGCTGCTGAAGGCCATTTCGGAAAGAGACCGCGGTTAAGCTGTCCTTAGTGATGTCTTGAAGCTTCTGCACAACAAGGACAAAGAGCCTTCAAGATCCCTGAGTTGCAAGCCACTGAAGCCGCTCCACGACTTCACTACATACACTACACACCGCTGACTTATAAGTTCAATCCAAAGCCAGGCAGCCATTCCACTGTCCATCAGCGCACTATCTAGGAAAAGCTCATCGTCTACTCCAATGGCTTGTTTTGCCATTTCGGAGACTGTAGCCTGGCACGGGGTGCCTTGGAACCATAAACCGAGTGTGACCTGAGCATACCTGCTCTTTTTCCCTGAAGTGTTTTGGACAATGCATGTCATGCCTTTTGGACGATTCCTGAAGAATTCCAACTGTGCCGAATTGAGGCCTTTTCATCTATAAGATCTAGGCAGAACTCTAAGAAGAACCTCACCTCAAAGTGAAGACGACCAGACTACTGCTTTGTACTTGGGGCGACTTGACGGTGCGCCGCGCGCGCCTGCACCATGTTGGGGTCCAAGCCCACCTGACTGGAGCTTCAATGTCACTAACAGTTTGGCTTTCAGTGCTCAAAGGGCAATATTATGCTATGATACAATATGGATTCGCATCTCGTACTGTTAACCCTCAGTTAGGGCTTGTTTTGAAAAAGCAACGGGCGTCACTTCCCAGGCAAATCTGACAAAATCATCCAAATGAGAAGCAACAAGGGGGCAGTATCCAAGACTGAAGCCAATGGCTCAAGCTCTCTCCCGCGCCTGCTTTTCCACTGCCACAGCTGATGCAGCCGCTTGTGCAGAGCCGCCTCCGCCCTGGTCAGTCTTTCCATCAAGCACAGCTGGCTTTTGCTTGTTTGTCAGCACAAGCCGTCCTCTGCTTGTTGAGGCATAGTAGGCATCTCACCAGGGTATGGCTGATAGTAGGCATACTTCCTGAATGGCACAGCATTTGGGGTGTCAACTGGTAGGAACTTGACTAAGGTTGTGTCTGTATGCTGTACGTGTGTGTATGTGCATAATTGATTTAAAGACTTTTGTTGATAAATAGATCAAGAAAAAGATTTATAAACCAATGATTAAAGAGTAGTCAATAAACAATCAAGAAATAGATATATTAGTATCTAATATCTACAGTATATTCTATACTATACAATATCTGTTATATGCATATGTGCCCACTAATTTCCTCATGTCTTGGGTCCCGTGAAATGTTGTGAGACTTGCCTGTGGGACATTCAAAGGCTGTACCCTGCAAGATTGAAGACAACTGCTCACAAGCAAGAGGGCAAGGCGCTTTCCCGCGATCTGCTCAATCAATTTGTTAGCATCCTTCTCCTTCTTGGGATCACCACATGCCTTCGCCAGCATAAGCCTGAGTACACCAAACAGCCACAGAGTCAAGGAGGGCAAACCAGTCAAAACAGGCCAAAAGCATGTCTTTGCTGACAGGGTGCCCTTCATTCGCAGCATCTAATGCCTGGCTGATTAAAAAATGCTGGCCAGACCCTGGAAGGATGTAACCAGCATAGCAAACCACGCCTTTTCATCCTCACTCTTGCTGTGGTAGATCTCTGCGATCAAGATCACAGAGCCAGCTTCTCTAGCCCGCTCATCGACTTGTCGGAAAATATCCTGGGACAAAAGTGGAAGGAGCTGAAACCTGGTGAAGCCGAAAGATGCGGAGATGGTCCTGTCACGGTCTCCCTTCGTTTTTCTTTGGCACTTTGCACGACTGCAGAGAAACGGGCGGCCTGTGGACCACTGTCATTCCAAGGCACTACCGCCTCCCGTGCCGCCTTCAAGGCCTCGTCCGGCTTCACCTGGCATGTCGTGTCTTCGCGCTCATGCGTTCACGAAAGGGGCGTCCGAAAAGGGCGCGGCGCATCGAACAGGTGCAACACGCGGCAGGTGAGACCGTGACAAGCAGCACGTAGGCAGTCTGGTGCATGGCCATTCCCATGAGCTTTCCAGCACCAATAGTCTTGGCCACCTGATAGTCCACTTGGCAAAATAGTTCAAAATCATTGAGTGCAGTGGCCCGAAGCAGCTGCAAGGCGCAACTGCGTAGACTTTCAAGCGAATACGTCCAACTCTTTCCGTGGCCTTGTAGGCTTCTTTGGCTGGCTTGAGCGATCGCTCGGAGCCTTTGGCCAAGCCCTTTGGATTGTCCTCGGGTCGAGAAAAGAGTCGGTGCCGACGTGCCGAGACCTGGAGGCCCAGGTCAGGCTGTCCTGCATGGCCAGGGCAATGTTTGCCTCCGAGGACAAAATCAGGTTCTCAGCAAGCTGTCTGCGATCCTTAGCTGCGATCACTTGCTCAAAGGAAGAGCAAACACGCATCGAACAATGATGCAGAATACAATGCGGCAGCTGAAGTCATGCATGGCAAAGTGGAGACAAGGTGCATGTACTCGCTTGCTCAGCTGCACTGCTTCATTAGCTGCCCGAACAGATTCTCCAGGCATCTCCGAGGCCAAGTAGATGTTTGAGAGGGTGCGAATGGCACCCACCTGTCCAGCACTAATCAAGTGAGGATGGTCTTGGAGAACAGGAGCGATTTAGAGACAACTCTTAAACTCACACAAGAAATTCTTAAACTGCAAGCCAACGATGATCGCCTCGGCCCGCATGTCCCCTGCGTGCGGCGGGGATGGTGGGGAAAAACAGAATAATGATTTCCAATTTGTGTGTGTGTCTTCCAGTGTTGATTGCGTAAGGCAATGTCCAGCATCAGATGGAACTCACATATGGGTTCCATTTGCTAGTCAAGCATTCTGAAGGTCAAACCATCCTTACTAAGTCTTACTACTAAATAGTAGTCTGTGGATACTGTAGCCAGTGTGATGTGAGATCTTTTCAAAGGGTTCTGCGCAAGTGCGGATCAACGAGGTGCTGAATGTCAAGTCTCAAAGACCATGTCACCAGGCTGCCTTCGAGCCTCACATCTGGATAAATGCAACGGTTCCATCACACAGCACGGCACCAGTTCCATTGACAATGTCTTCACGTGCCGCCCCACAAACACCAATTGTGATGTCTTCCCAGTAATCCTCCATGCGAGAAGCACATGAAACTTCTCTGGCGCTAATGCTTCCATTGGCGAACAATGAGATCGTGTCAGGCCGATCATCAAAGAAGTGCACGGCAGTCCGTTGAATTGTAAAATTGAAGGTGCGTTCGTACCAACTGCGGATTTCTTCAGCTGCCAAATACTTCTGTAGTGGCTGCTGACCAAGAACAAATGGCGACCTTAAGTGCAAATCGCTCTGAACCATGGTCCCCCAGGACCAGTCTTTGATGTCAGGAAACCGAGCAGAAAGATTGTCCTGGGGCTCTGTTCTCATAATTGTGTCGAGGATGTAGTGGTTCCATGCTGAGTTGACACCGCTGCCTTCACCACTAGAGATGATTCCCAAATAACACTCCTTGCAGAAGGTGGATCGGATGCCAGAGACAGATAACGGCGAAAGAGTTACATTTCCTCGGCCATAAGCTTTGTCGAGGAGGTCCAGCTCCCTTGTTCCAGGGCAGCGCCCTGCGGATCCCTGCTTCGCTGTCAAGGTTCGATCGATGTCGAAAATGCATAGGCAAGATGCTTCCTGGAGGCTTTGAGCAGCTCTACTACAGGTTTCCGCGCAAACATGGCGCCCTTCACCCTGTGCATGCTCACATTCCTGGAGGCCAGCGCAGCACGCAAGCCTGCTACCTGTGGAGTATGGATCCGTTCCAGCTTCGCTGCAGGGCTCTTTCACCGCTTCGCAAAGGTATGTCCATGAGCCGTTGAGGTTCCGCATCTCTTTTTTCAGGCCAGGGCAGCAGTCTATCTCGCTCCCATGGGCAAAGGGTTTCTTGCCCAGAGTGGCGCAACCACCCACATGTGTCTGTAAAAGACTCAGACAGGGGACTTCTAACACATCAGCATTGCCACATACAGCTGCCACTACAAGGTTGAGACTAGTGAAACGCATGGAGGGTGCAGTGGCCGGAGCATGAAATAGCTGCAGGTGCACTCTACTGAAGCCAGAGTAGAATGTCTGTCAACAACAGCCGCCCAGCCTGTTTCTTGCAGCTTGGCGCGCATCTCCTTGGCCAGCGCAACAGCCTGCTCCACCTGCAGAATTGTTGAAGCAAAAATTAAACAGAACAGTGGCAGAGAGAGAGAGAGAGAATGAGGGAGAGAGCAGTCGGTGGAGTTGGAAGGAACCATTTGGGGGCGAATTGCGCCTCCCGCAGGTCGCAGTAGATGTCTGCCAGCACATTGAGAGCTCGAGCCTCACCTGACCTGTCCTTCTTTTCCTGAAAGAGCTCCTGCGCTTCCTGGCTGAATCTCTAAGAACAAACGTCTACATCCGCACTGCTAGAAGCAAATCTT